GTTATGAAGGAAATAAATGAGGCATTTTTAGGACAGTCAAGGAAGATTATCTAAGACAAATACACTGAGGTCCTAAAGCTGAAAAATAGTGGGCTGGGACCAGCAGATGGCGTAATGGTTACATGGCTAGACTTCCACGTGGTGGTCCCGGTTCGATTCCGGCCCTGGGAGCTTAAAACTCACGTCGGTCACGTGTGAGTGGGTGCCCAAAATTGCGAGAGGAGAATGGTGAAGAGATTGCAGCACGGCCCTGTCTGTCTCTCTGGCGAGCGCATGCGCCTTATAGCAAAAATCTCTCTAAAAAAAAAGGGGGGGGGGATCTAGGCTCCTCTACTTTTTGGAACGGTTCCTTTCTACACGTCGGGTGAATAACCCAACAGTGTGGGCCAACGAGTATAGTCAAAGAAATTGACCACGATTTGCCTTGCATGTGCTAGACGTCAGGAGTGCGGTGAGAGCTGCAACCAGATAAGTACACAGTGGGTGTCTGCCGTACTCTGGGGCGCCTCCAGACAGCTTCTCCATGCCTGACCCTCCAACCCTTGTAGGACTCTACTGTATCTTCCAGACTCGCCCACCCAGTCTCGAGTATCGGCTCCCAGAGCTCCTCTCCATTCCCCGCCCCTCTCCTTTGTCCGGGGTTTCTCCCTTCCCGGCTTTGGGGCCCGGTTCTTGCCTCTGTAAAACCCCCATAAGTCGTCTGGTAGAACTCATCTTCCTCCTCTGCCTCTAGGAGCCCAGAAAGCCGGTTTCCAGCCGTCTTCCGGGGGGCCCGGCCCCCAGCCAAACTCATGTCGCCTACAGAGACAACGCCGCCACCAGCGGCTCCGGGCCCAGCTCCCTTCTTGGAGCTCGGCACTCGACACCACTACCTGCGCTGGCCGCCGTTGGCGGAAGTTGAGCGTCTGCAGGCAGAAGCAACAGAGCGTCGAGGCCCCTCTCGGTCCCGCCCCCTACGCTTTTAGCCCCGCCCATTCTTGAGCAAAGTCTTCAATCCTGTCAGTCTTTGAACCCGCCGACCTGGCTTGCTTAATGATTCCACTTGGTGACACCAGGACCTCGTCACTGCTCTAAGTTATGATATGCGGGGTTAACAAATTTTATTTTAAAAGAGGTCAGTTTCCTCTGACCCAGAACGTTTCCATATAAAAACCCAGATATTGTCGCTACTCAAAAATCCCAACATCCCCATCCTCTGCAGGATAAAGTCTAAAATCCTTGAGATAGAAGGCATAGCCAGACAGACCTGTGTTTTAGTCTAAGCTGTAAGGTCTTTAAGTTGTGTGACCTTAAATAAATTGCTTTACTTCTCTGAATATGTTTTCTCATCTGTGGAGTTAGACCAATAATAATATCCACCTTTTAAAATTGTTGAGAAGATTGAGATAATCCCTGTAAATGGCACCATGTTTAGTAAGCATGTAGTAAACTTTAGTAGCTGATTACTATTTACATTCAAGATCCTTCATAATTGAGCTTTTCCCTATCTTTCTAGACCCCTCTCTAGCCGTATGTTCCTATCAATCCCCTAACACCAGTTCTCTGTCAGCGTTCTAGGCTTCTTCTTTTCCTTAGTCTCCCTTTTCTTTCTTGTCTATCTGGCAAAATTCAAATTTTACAGGATAGTGAGGGCTTCCTGAACACCTATTCCAAGCACAGTTCTATAACCACGCGTCCTATATTCTCCTATATTCCCATAGGTTGTAGTATTGTCAAGACTGTAACTTCTGGGGCCGGCAGGTGGCGTGGTGGTTAAGAGCGCTGAATACCCATATGGCCGATCACAGTCTGAGTTCGGGACCTGGAGGCTTGCTTTCTTACTTTCCCTTTCTCTCTCTCCTGGGCCCTCTCTGGTCAAAATTTAAAAATGATTAGCAACAAATGGAATTAAATAAATAAATAAGTAAATATTAAAAAAAGACTGTCAACTTCTTTTCCCATTTTTTTTATCTTGAAAATATAGTTGTCAAGTCATAACTCTTGTATACTATATGATGGCACCTATTAAGACTAATTTCAGTAGTCTGTGATCTTCTTAAGGGCAGGAGCTTCATCCTTTTTTTTTTTTTTCCTTTGAGAGTTTTTTGCCATAGGGTGTGTGTGCTCACCAGAAAGACAGAGAGAGACAGAGAGACAGACAGTGAGAAATCACCCCCCAGGGGGGATGACCACGCCGCAATCCCTCATCCTCCATTCTCCTCTTGGGATCTTGGGCACGCACGCACACAAGTCCAGTGAGAATTTAAGCCACTGGGTCTGGGACTCAAAATGTAGTTGACTACATGAGAGTCTAGTGACATAGCCATTATCCCAACTTCTGGTCCCGGGGCTTCATCTTTATTGTGTATATCAGGTCTCTCAGAGCGCCTGGGATATTAGTGGGGCTAAATAATGGTAATCAAATGAGTGAATGGATGACTAACTGAATGAATAATGTGCTCGTTCTCCTTTTTTATTTTTTAAAAGATTTTTTGCCAAGGGCAGCAGGTGGCACAGTGGTTAAAGCCCTGGACTCCCAAGTGCTGGACTGTGGCTCAAGTCCCAGACCAGGTGGCTTGAAACTCATGCTGGGCACATGTGTGTGCATGCCTAAAATCCCAAGAGGAGAATGGAGAAGGAGCGATCTGTCTCTCTGGCAAGTACACAGGCCCTAATAGCAAAAATATCTCTAATATATAAATATATATATATATATGTTTGCCATAGGGCACATGTGCTCACAGGAGTGAGAGAGAGACAGAGAGGAAAGTGAGAAATCACCTCTCAAAGGGGATGGTTACACCACAATCCCTTCCCCTTCATTTTCCACAGATTTGGGGCATGCACACACAGATGCCCTGAGTGTTTTTCAAGCCACTGAGTCCAGGACTCAACTCATAGTTGGCCAGGTAGGAGTCCAACTTAACCACCATGCCAGATGCTGGTCCCAATGTGCCCATTCTCTTATTTTTGTCTGTACATTGCTCTTGCCAGTCCTCAGCCTCTTCATTCTGATTTTAGGAACTGTTCTTAAACATGAAGGACACTTCAATAAAGCTCTGTGTGTGTGCACTTACACGCACTCAAGTCTCTATTCTGAGGTCACCAGACTGCCTCCCTTTTCCAAAGTATGTATCGGTGAACTCCCTTTTCCATTTCCTTGGGGGCACCAAGCCAACATGTCCTGTTCTGCCCCTGCTTCCACGCCCTGACACGTCACCCCCTGTTTTGCTATGCCAGGAATGTTACTGGGGAACAGTGGCTCTGTGACTCAGAGGCACCCCAGAGGCTCAGGCGGGGTGGGGTGGGGGGGAGGGTGGTGGTTGCAAGATTTAGAGAAGAAAGATGGAAGACATCTGCTTCTTAAACATCCCTAGCTCTGTTTTTAAAAATTTGCCTTCATCCATTCATATATTCAAGAGACATGTACTAGACACCTACTCTTTGCCAAGTACTATTCTAGATCTTTGAAACATAAAAATGGATAAGATATCTATAGTAATCTTTGCCCTGAAGAGTTCAGTCTTATACAAAAGTAAACAGGTAACCAGACTGACACAGCACAAAGTGATAGCATAAGAGTATTCATTTTCTGGTACACAAAAGAAAAACAGAGATCCCCTTAGGAAGCTACAAAACAGGGCTTTCTTCTTTCCGGGCGGCTGAAATCAAATTCACAGATTGGCCCCCTGAGAAAAGATTTCTTGGTTTGACTGCCTTGGTCATCCAGGGATTTATTAGTCTATTCCCAACTTTGAAATCATAAATAATTTTACCTCTACACCAGCTGATTTCTAAAGTAACTCAGGAAATGAGCAAAGCACCCCTTTTTCTTTTATGGAAACGAGGATAACCTATTCAATGAAATGTTTATTTATTGAATATCTGTGAGCCAAATCTTGTGCTAGATTTGCCATGCCTCACATTGCCTAGTTTTGTACTATTTAGATGGGTGGTGGGGGTACAGGTAGAGGCAATCATAAAATACTTCAAAACTATATAAGTCCAACCATAAAAAATTAATAATAGTAATAATAATAAAATCCTATGCAATTCCACTGCCCTGGATAGTTTATCTTCAGTACCCAAAGGAGGATAAATAATCCAGCAGGTGGCAGCAGGGAAACAATTATCTTAAATCTTGGCCATTTGGGTGGGCTACGCAACCTAGGCTTTTTTCCTTAGTCCTCTTTATTTATTCTACAAATAATTATCGGGTCTGTACTATATACAAAGGGAAGGAGCTGGAGATACAAGAGTGAACCTGAATTCAGTCTTGCTCTCCAGAAACTTGTTCAGAGAAACAGGTCTTCAGGTCTCCACAATTTCCAAGGTACTTTGTAAAACTCAACGGTTAGTACGAAGACCAGCCTACGACAGGGGTGGAATTTTTCTGTCCTTTGGAGCATAGATAATCGACAAATGGAATAGAAGGGCATGGATCGCGGGAAGGTTGCAATAAGGTCTGATCACCTTCTGTGATTCTTTTAAACACGGCTTCATCGGTTCATTTGTCAAATATTTATTGACCTCCATCACTGTAACCAGCATAGTGCTTGAGACAAACAAAACCTAGATTTATTTTGAGTGTCATTCGGAGGAAGGTAAGACAGGCATGCACGGTAAACAATAAACAAGGCAGTAAAACCAGAAAAGGGCTGGGAAGAGTTCTCGTTGGCATACGATGTTTTGTGATAGCTGATCATCTTTGTGATCTCGGACTTGACACCACGCCTCCATCCGGAATTCTTCCCTTGGCAGTGAATGTGAGAGGACCAGCCTAGCAAACCCCTATCTCGAATTCAAAACACCAATCCAATCCTTTCCTGTAAGTTGACCTACCGAGCCACCGTAGGGGCGGTCAGCCGGCCGGGGCGCGCGCGTCTGCGGCCAGTGAACTCGTTCGTGCGTGTTAAAGACCCGCCCCACGTGACCAGAAGCAGACTCCCGACTGGCTTTGCTCTCCTCCCTGCCCGGCTGAGTGGGCTGGAACCCTGTGGAGGCGGTCGCGCGCATGCGCCGTGCGTGGATTTCCTTGGCCACTCGGAGTGGAGCGGTGGGGTTGGGCCATAAACAGGCTGTGGCTAGGAAGGCGGGGGAGGGGGCGTTCGCTCCTCTGGGACCTCTCATGCTTCGGTTTCCGTTTAGGTATGTTTGGTCGGACGTGGGGTCTCGGCAGCCGGCTTGAGCCCACTCCCTCGTGCGCGGGGAAAGTAGCTCCTGTGGAAAGCGGTTAAAGTTGTGTGGGGGTGCGAGCGGGAGTCCTCCCCCTTGCCCGGCGAATGGTGCGGCCCTGAGCTGGTCCTGGAGCCCACCCGACGTCGCTGAGCGAGGCCCCGGAGGGGGCTGGCAGAACGCGGGATCAGTAAAGAGACGTGGGGAAGATTCGATTTCGAGAAGAGGAAGAGCCCGAGTGGAAGGGAGCGAGGCCGCTGAGGGGGAAGGGGCTGCCAAGATGGCGTCGGCCTCCTCTGGGCCGTCGACGGTGGGGTTTTCATCTATTGATCCCGGAGTCCCTTCCGGCACCTCGTCCTCAGGTAAGCCGGCGGGGCGTGGGCCGGGGCTGGTGAGGATGTGCGGTGCGAGGAAGCGCGAGCCCGGGGGGGCACCTGTAGCTGAGAGCCAGAGGGTTTGCGGGTAGGGAGGACGGGGGCCGGGCTTTCGGAGAGCAGAGAGTGCTGAGAGCGCAGGGGGAGTGCGAGGAGAGGGTGGGCTTGACCTGGAACAGGGAGGCTGTCCAGACCTCGGCTGTCTTTGAGGAGCCCGGATTGAGGACTTCGAGGAGGAGGGATGGAGATTGAATAAGGGTCCGAAACACCAGGGAGACAGAAGGGAGTAGAGAAGCTCAAATAGGAGGCCTGAGAAGTAGAGAGGAACTTCTGTGGGAGGCAGGTATAATCCAAGTTGGTTGTGGGGTTAATTGGATAAAGATTTTCGAAGAGAAGCTGTGGCACGTAAAAGGTGTTGACCAGTTTGGGGACACTTTCAATTGCCGGGTGGTTAGAACATCGTGATTTTGTTGCAGGTGGGCGTTGTTGGAGCCGCCTTTTTCCTGAGAGTCTCCCCCAAATGCGTCATTCTTTCTTAGCTACTCCCTCCCCCCCCACACACACAGGCGCAGACATACACATACTTTCTCAAACTCACACCTTTGGTGACGTCTGTCTTCTGGACTGCCTAACTTTGGGGGAGGAATGGGCAATTTTAAAGAGAGCCTGAGGAATGTGGGCAGTTAGGGGTCCAAAGACTCTAAAAACATGTGGGGAAGATGGAATGGACTCTTGAATTGCAGCAGAGGATGAGGGAAGAGATGTTAGAAAGAGATGTTGGGCCCGGGAAAGAAAGATGGGGCAGGGGCGGCCCTAAGTGCTGTGGGGGAATATTGCATAATAGGACGTGGACCGGAAAAATGCTTAGAGTGGATCAAGGAATTGGAACTTGAAGCCAAGGAATACAGACAACTCAGAGGCGTTAGAAACTAAGGCAGGTTGAGGGAGGGCTGAGGAGGCCCACAAGGAAACCAACAGATTGTGTGTAGGAGAGAAAAAGAGTAGATGGAGAGGAGGGGAGGGGTGAGTCAGAAACTGTTCTAGAGCTTCCACCAGAAATGTCTGGTATCCCACAGTGACATCTCTACACTGGGAACAGGAGAGATGCCAGATGTTGTTGAGTGCTTTACTTGGGATTTTGACATTTCCTTAGGCATGGGATTGTACGCTTGCCATTTTGAATTAGTTAAAAGAGGGTTCCACCTTAAACATCCCAGCTTAGATGAGGGAATAGGAGTCACAAATATCTTCTTCATAAGCTGCAGTTTTATTTATGTACATCTATTTATAGTTTCTTCAGAGGTGATTTTTGCCTTTCCGGTAAAACCATTAGAGGACCAGAACGACTCATATCTCCTAAGTGTGAAAAAGGTTAAAGTAAAATTGACAGTCTGTTTATTTTTTAATGTAGTAGCTCCATAATTTGAAACCTGCTCTTCCTACTTCCCAACCCAGAAAGAAGAAAGGGTGTGTGTGGTCCTTAAGCAAATTTCCCAACTATCAAGTCAGTTATTCTTGCTGTTAGAAACAAAGTTAATCTTAAAAGTTGTGTATTTGTTTGCCACAATTTGATCCACCCTTTGTTTCATGGAAGTACATGCTAGGTAGACAGGTTTAGGAGTGATGAGGAAATGTTTGTCACTTACTGATACTTCTCTTTTGTCTCTACTCCTACTTCAGATAATGTAAATATCTTTTTTAGATGATATTTTTGTGGGGTTTTATGTTTTCTGCTAGGTTCTAAAATTAGGTTACTACAGATTATATAGGTTTTCTGTTTTCACCAGAAAGTCAAATGTTAGACTTCAGTGGACACTTTACAACTCCTTGACTCCACTGTGTTCTTATGTGAAGTCAAGGTATGAAAAAAAAATGTTTAAATTAAAAAGAAATAGCCTTAGATTCTTTTAAAAAAAAGAAAAGAAAAGAAAAGAAAAGAAACAACAACTTTGGTTTCTTACACCCTCTTCTGTTTCTTTGGTACATACCTAAACAATTGGACTGGGAAGAATTCTGTTTTGTAAATATATCTGAAAACTCTATTGGATTATTGTGTACACACGCAGTGTTCTTTTTTGTATCTGTATGTTCACTCAAGTTTGGGCTAGGTGAAATTCTTTTAATAAAATTTTTTCTTTCAAGCATGGGTCTTTGAGGAGTATGTGATGTTTGATTCTGATGCACAGAGGACTATTTTAAAGAAAGAGTTTTGGTACCAGCAGATGTCATAATGGTTATGTTGCTGGACTCCTACAGTCAACTGCGGTTCAAGTCCCAGACCTGGCAGCTTAAAACTCATACCAGGTGCATGTGCATACATGCACAAAATTCCAAGAGGAGAAGGAATTGCAGTGTGGCCATCCCCCTCGGGGGGATGGTGTGATTTCTCACTTTCTCTTTCTGTCCCTTGTCAAGTGCACACGCTCTATAGCAAAAATCTCTCAAAAATAAATAAATAGAAAGGTTTATTTATTTATTTTTAAATTTTTTGGCGGAGAGGTTTTTGCTATAGGGCGAGTGTGCTTGCCAGAAAGAGAGACAGACAGAAAACAAAAAATCACCCCTCAGGGGTGATGGCCATGTTGTAATCCCCTCTCCATTTTTTTTTTTTTTTTTGAGAGGTTTTTGCTATAGGGCACGTGCGCTCGCCAGAAAGAGAGAGACAGAGAACAGAAAGCGAGAAATCAACCCCTGGGGGGATGGCCACGCCACAATCCCTTCTCCTCTACTCTTCTCTCGGGATCTTGGGCATGCATGCACATGCAACTGGCATGAGTTTAAGCCGCCGGCTCTGGGACTCAAACCACCGTCGACTGCATGGGAGTCCAGCGACACAGCCATTACACTAACTGCTGGTCCCCTCCTCTCCTCCATTTTCCTCGGTATCTTGGGCACGCATGCTCATGCGCCCGGTGTGAATTTAAACCACAGGGTCTGGTACTCCAACCGTGGTTGACCACATGGGAGTCCAGCGACATAGCCGTTAGGTCAACTGCTGCTGGTCTCAAAGAAAGGGTTTTATTAGTTATTGGAGGAGGGTACTGCTTTTTCTGATGATACTAGGGTAATTGGGAAGTTGGCAGGAATAAGCAATAGTTTATGATTTCTTAATTTTGTTTGTTTTTAAGACAAGCTCTGGCAGGCTTTATTAAAGAAAAATGTTGCATGGTTTACTTTTCACCAGTCTGTTGGGCATATGTCTAATGATACTGGAATCACCTAGATTAATGAAAGCCAGTGTGCATACTCTGTAGTATTTTTTACATGCTGTGCCCAATTCAGTATTATTTCCTCTGTAGTAATGGACACCAGTTTTGGCCAACATGGCATAGTACTCTATTTTGGATTTCCTCAAGGCTGAGCAGTTACTGGCAAGGATGACCAACTTTGCTTTGCCTTGTCTGATCATCTTCAGAGTCTGCTTATACCCCAGGACATACTTCCCACTTTTCATAACAAGTTGGAGCTGAGAGTTGATGGACTCCAGTGATTTTATTCGTAATCTTTGTTGCCACCATCTTTCTATCTTAGGTGTGATGGCCCCCAAACAAAAGCAGCTGCCAGGATGGCTGGGAAGCAAGAAAACCATAAGTTATTAAAGGTTAGACTTGCAGAAATTCAGAGAGGAGATGTGTATGTCTATTTTAACCATCTTAGGATGAGTTTATTGTTCTTTATATTTAGCCAAACTCAAATTTTAGTGAGACTTTTGAAATACTGGATTGTCTGAAAGTCTTGATGCTTTTTTCCATAGAAAAAAAATAGGAAAATGCGTCATAGTTTTTCTGATGACACAATATCATAGGTAAGTGTTGAAAATGGGTATAAAAGAGGGGAACCAGCAGTTAGCGTAATGGCTATGTCACTGGACTCCCACGTAGTTGACCGTGGTTCGTGTCCCAGACCCGGTGGCCTAGAGCTCATGCCGGGCGCGTGTGTGTGCATGCCCAAGATCCCGAGAGGAGAATGGAGGAGAAGGGATTGCGGCGTGACCATCCCCCCTGGGGGGTGATTTCTCGCTTTCTGTGTCTCTCTGT